TATATATATATAGAGAGAGAGAGAGAGAGAGAGAGAGAGAAAATATATAGCAGTAGAGTACCTTTCGGAAGTGAATGAAGGATGCTGATGCAAATAGGGTTACGAAAATTGGATTTGGCGTTGATGAATTGATTTTGGAAGCGCCATTTTCGTTTAACAGTTGTAGATGAGTTTTTTTGGAAAGGGAACTTCCCTAACGAGGGTTTCCGGGCCAGCTTTCGCGCACCGACTAATCCCCCGCTGCAAAATGAGGCTTCGCCTCATGCCCTGGAGTCACTACAGGCGAACCTCCATGGCCACAAGGGCTGAGTGGTGACAGGATTTGAACATGGGTCAATAGGTTATCCACCATATCTTCCACATGTCTTACCAAGTCACCACAACCCAAGTGGTTGTAGATGAGTTTCCTTATCATGATCTTTGGATTTAGGGTTTCCTTCCCTTTCATCTGAAAAATTAAGAAGTTAAACCTCGATAGAAGCTTGGATTTAGAGTTGGCATCTTCAACCGGGGGAAAGAAGTACGTGTCGAAGGTGGGAAGGAAGGCAGGCGGAAGACCGGCGGTGAAGAGGGTTGCTGGATTTTTTTTGGCGACATTAAAGGGCATGTGGACGATTTTCTTAAAGGAAGCAAGGAATCGATGGTGATGTTATACGAATGTGTGAAACTGATTCCTAATCTAACGGGATATTTATTGATTTTATTTTATTTACCATAATTATATATTGTTTAGATTACTATTATACACTACATTATTTAATAATAATTTAATATTTCTTAAATCTTGATTGGCTCTTACATCCACATAATAGACGTGCATCCACATTTGAAGCTGACTCTATATATATAATACAATTATAAACAATAATAAACAAACTCTTCCAAAATAAATATTAGGTATTGTAGTCCAATAATAATTCTTTAATAGGTATTATTTTTGGAACCCATATAAATAAATAAACATGAAATAATTAGGAACATTTTTTCTCCCTAAATATCGTTCCACTTAGTGATACATATGACTAGGCAACCGAGGCTCTAATACAGCAACTAACGGGGACTTATTTTTGGCAGATAGTCCATAGACCTCCTCCATTTTTATATCTTCATATCTCATATTTTCAGGCAACTTCCAGTTAAACCCATGCAACATGTTCCCCAATAGCGACCTCATCATCTTTAATGCTAGCCTATAACCAGGGCACATCCTTCTACCCGAACTAAACGGCAATAACTCAAAATGTTGCCCTTTTACATCTATATCGCTACCCAAAAATCTCTCTGGTCGGAAACTGTCCACGTCATCCCAAACAACGGAGTCCCTTCCAATGCTCCATGTGTTGATAAAAACTATTGTGCCTTTTGCGATGTCGTATCTGTCCACTTTGCAATCTTCAAGGGCTAAATGTGGTGCTAGTAAGACCCCCGATGGGTGTAGCCTCATGGTTTCCTTAATTTAGAATTAAATCGATGAAAGGTAGGTTTGTGAAGTCGGTCTCTTGGACCCATCTTTCTTTACCAATCACCCTATCGAGCTCTTCGGTTGCCTTCTTTATTAGATGAGGTTGTTTAATCAGCTCGCTCATTGCCCATTCTATTGTTGTTGTAGTTGTATCAGTTGCACCGACAATCAAATCCTGTAACAATGAACAAGTTTCATGCATGTTAGTATGTTACCTTAAATCTATTAATATGTACATTGTTAACTATTAATATTGATTTCAATACATGATATTCATCGATTTTATTGTAGTCAAATAGATTAAATTTTATGCATCAAATAATATTCGATCAAAAAATAGATGGATTTAGTGCAAGTTGTTCGATAGATACCTGCGCAAGCCCCTTGACAACATCAATACTGAGCTGAACTTCAAGATTAGGATCCTCTGCTAACTTCAACAACACATCAACCACATCTCTTGCTACAAAACCCTGCTTTTCAACCTTCATCCTATCCCTATGCTCGTCAAAGACATGTTCATAAAACTTATCAAATCTCTTGCTTAAAGCCTTCATCCTCTTCACATACCCTTGCAAATCCATAAACCCCATCCAAGGCATCCAATCCGCAAGATGAAAAGCTGCGTTCAGCACGGAGAACTCATGTATTTTTTTAGTAGTCTAAGTCATTAAACTTATATGTTACCTGTTAATTGTACCAACATTCTATTTTTCATCCGGTTTTACCAGTTATAACCACAAATCGAAGCTCCCTTTTATTGTAAACCTTTAACAAAATCGTTAAGCATCTGAGCTATTGTTGTCGTGGTTGACATAGTTGCTGAAACTTTCCTTGCTTTATTCTCAATGTTGATTTGATGTTGCATGATACCACATGTCATCTACCTTCGACCACCGGCTTCACCATCCACTGCCACACATCATCACCACCTGTAAAAAAAACCGCTCAACGGAAATACCGTCTATTCACCTTACGCCAGCATTCAAGCTTCCTTCAACAACCACCCGCTCAAGCCGAATCTCCAGAATGAAACACAACCTGCCAAACACCACCATCTCTGATTGAACATGAGACTTTACAGAACCCTAGAGTAGCTCTCCAAGATCGATTTCCCAACATCCTGAATGTTCATCTCAAAAATTGTTTATAATCAGGTTCCTTTTGAGGTTTTTGAAGAATAAAATTAGGGTTTTTGAAATTTGAAGTACCTTTTGGTGTTGCATCTTGCTGATGTCTAATGAGGTTTGAGTTAGACCGGGAAAACGATGTTTCAGACAAAGTAAGATACCTTCAACTAATGAGTCTCTCTTGTATCATTCACCATGTACCACAAAGCTTTCGCCGCCGATCTGTTTTGGATGAGGTAATGGCCTCGATTGAATCCTTTTTTGCCACACGTAGATCGATGCCTCCATAGGATTGGCGATTTCTAAAGTGACGTGTTCAAATGAAAGATCGAGACAATCTAGAAAACACTCCAGTGATAATTGCTCTGATGTTATATAACGATATATAACTTATCCTAAACAAGCTCTACCATTCTACAAAACCGGATGAAATTTCCCCACTGATACATTAGGGATAGGTGGATGTAACCCATAAAACCGGATAAAAAATAGATTGTTGGTATAATTAACAGGTCACATATAAGTTTGATGACCTGAACTACTAAAAAAATAAATCATGGACCTTTTAAAGCAAAACCCAATATAAGTTTGATGACCTGAACTACTAAAAAAATAAATCATGGACCTTTTAAAGCAAAACCCAATAGTTGGTTGGGTTACAATCACATTTACCCAAAAAAGTTATATGAATTGAATTCGTCAATAACAACAGTTGAAGTGTTGACGCTTGAAGCATAACGAGTTTGCACTCTTGCACATACACTATAACAAATACATTAATTTATAAACGTATAAAATTCATGTTATATAAACCAAAAAAAAACATATTTGATTAATTTTCATAAACTTTTCCAAAGAATTAAACAAGAATTAGTGGGTTTTCAGAATTAGCCATAAATTCTGCACGTCATACCTGAAAAATGGGCTTCTCGCAATGTGATCGACTTTCGATATGTGAAGTGTTCACTTAATTAGGCCCAAAAAATACAAAAAGAATAAAATTAATTTTCGAATTCCACGGATCACCCACCCGTGAATTTCTTTAAATTTACCTACGAAAGCCCATTTTGCAATTGGGTTGGGTTCGGGTTGGCGGGTTGACGGGTTAGAATACATTGACCCAACCCATATAATATATGGATTGGCGGGTCACGGATTGGCGGGTTGAAAACATCAACCCAACCCAACCTATATAACCCGTATAAGTATATGGGTTCGTGGGTTCGTGGGTCAGTGGGTCGTACCCAACCCGTATAACCCATTTAATAAGCAACATATTTCAAAATAAAATTAAAAAATACAAATAAAATGAAGTCATAAAGTCTTAATTATTCAACATAAAGTCATAAATAGGAGTGACAACGACGAGTGATGTGCGACAACCAGAGGATAAGAAGACGAGTGGTGCTTGTGCGACACTGCGACAGTCGATGACTCGATGCCTCATTCGACGGAGACGGGAGACAGGGAGTCGTGAGTTTGGTGACTGAATACTGAATTTCTTTTTGATTAGGAGCTTCTTAGGGGCTAGGGCACGCTAAGTCGACTCGAAGATGTTTTGCAGTTTTGGAATTCGGAAAACGATTAGACGTTTATCAAATATTCAAAACTGATAAATAATTAAATATATTTTTTAAACATAATATATATATATATATATATATATATATATATATAATCTGGTTGGCGGGTTGACCCGCGAACCCAAACAGATAACCCAATCCATCCCATGAAATAAATGAATTGGAGGGTTGACGGGTTGGCGAGTCAAAAATCTCAACCCAAACCCGTTTATTTTCGTGTTGGGTCAGTGTCGGGTTACGGGTTGGGTCGAGAATTGTCACCTCATACCTGGTAAATCTTATTTCGGTCAACGTGAACAATTATTTTTGGACCAAAACTAATATTATTGTTTTTAATAATAATAATAATAATAATAATAAATAGGGGAGGGGGTAAGGCCCGAACTTTATATTTTTGGTCTAATATTTATAAAATTAATTAAGCAATAATTATTTCTAAGCATAAAAAACAAGGGGTCACAGCCCATTCGGCCAACCAAAAGTTCCGCCCATGGACTAATGAGTGATATTCATACTTACTAATCTAACAATTGTACTGTAAAATTAAGTCTAATGTTTATAAACTAGTATTTGAGTTGGTGCTTTGCACGGGTTTTTAGTGTGTTTTTCTTGAGTATTACGCATGAGAATCGATTAAATCAATATAGCATGTCATAGCTTCAAAAAATATTAAAAGTTTAAAAGAAATGAGCGTTGGGTGATTTATCAAAAGTTGAGAAGAGTGTAGGACTATTTTTGTAAGTTTGATGGTATAATGTAAGTGGCATAGCTGTAAAAACATGTAAAAACATGTAGTACAATTACAAAGTTGAAGGTGGAAGGGTCAAGGTGATATTTTAAAAAAGTAATAAATGGAAAATATCATTTTACAAAATAGAGGGTTGCAAGTGACGGAATGATTAAAGTTGCGCTTTACGCATTGACATATTTATATATTGTGCACTAGTTGGTTGTACAATTAGCTACAATAATGTTCTCTCACTAATTGAGATTGTGCGTTGCCACGAATTTTTATGTGTTTTTGTTACGCATTAGGAAAGTCGAGGATGGAAAATCATATTGTATATACTACAGGGACGGGGGACAAACACAAATGTTTAGAAAATGAAAGTGTAAAAGTGACATTTTAAAAAGTTGAAGGTTAGGGGTGAAAGTGATTTTAAAAAGTATAGGGATGGAAAATATAATATTACAAAATAGAGGAGATATAAGTGACGGATTATACAAAGTTGAGGGATACCAAAAGTTCCAATTTATATATATTTATAATTTTTCTGTTTTTCGTTGTTAAGTAATATGAAAAAAAAAATCATTTTCACTCATGAAAGTTATGAATTTGATTTCGAGTAGATTTTTGGTTATTATTCATGTTGGTTGGTCATGATGGACAATCAATAGCTAAATTGAATATGTTAGGAGTTTGTTAAGAATAATTATGTATAGTTCCATGTAAGTATAAACTTTCCCGAGTGGTTAAATTTGAAGAATTTCATGATTAATAGTTTAATCAAATATTATTTTGACGTTCCAACTTCAGAGTTGCACTATGTTGTGGATATTTTTGATAAAGGTGATGTTACGCACTTGAAAAACGTTATTCACAGTTTTTTAAATGATTTACATATGTATCTGGTAATGGTGAATATGGTTTGGTGGAAAAGGCGCCAACCATTCCATGTAATTTAGTGAATCGATTAATATTGTTATTGAAAACTAATGTAGTGGAAGATGTTCCATTGAGAATCAATCCACTAGAAGAGGGTATGGTAGTATATTATAACCGGTGGGAAGCAAAACTCAACTAGGCATTTTTATCTCTCATGTTTTGCTGAACATATTTTATATGAAAACTCAGTACAACCATATATGGAATATATAGATCCTTAATATATAGATCCTTAAATTTATAAGTATGTTGATGATGATGATGTTACCACATATGATCATGCTGATATATGTAATGATATTAAAATAGATGTACATATATGTTTGCAATCCTTAACAACAAACTTTATCCTCCAAAGGAAAGTCAAGTAAGAGAAGGACATCAAGCAATACATGAGATTTTGGCGGTGGTTCACAAAGCTAAAATGTTTATCTATAACATCAAGTTTGAGGGATGTTTCTAATTTCGAGACAGCGGATTGTAATTAGATCAAATAAAGGCCTTGAGCTTCAAGGGAATAAAGTTTAGACCTTATTAAATGTTGATAATGTTTGTTAAGTTATTTAAACCCTTGAATTGTGTTGTGAAACCAAAAAGAGTAAAATGGGAAAAAAATAATATTTTAGGACTTCTTGCATGTATTAAGGAATTAAGTCCGATATACATTAAGTCAAAAGTAATTAGATAGAATTGTGAAGTTTGTTAATTGTATCATCCTCTTTTCTTATATGCTTCTTTTGAGTTAAAATCTCTTAAATCTATATTTTTAAGGTTTTGGCTTGGCCACGTAGTGGTCATGGGCTTGGTCCATTAGGGATTTAAGGGTGATATATTCACTATAAATATGGATGACAGTTAAGTCCTTTGTGTCGTGTCTTTTGTATCCTTAGTGAATAGGACAGATCTTTGTTGAGATGTACTTGTAATCTTTGTTTGAGAACTCTATGAAAAAAGAATACTCTCTTCCTGCTCATGGATGTAGGTCACCTTGACTGATCCATATAAATATTGTGTCTTTATATGCTTTTAATTTTTCTTGTTATCCGCATTACTTCCCAAAAAGGGTCATCAGAACTTGGCAAGTGACATCAAACTTGTTCTAAATCTTGACAAGAATCGTCTGATTTCCTAACAAGTGTTGCATTTTTATTCAAAAATTGTTTCAAAAACATAAAGGTGACAACGAAATACATTGATTTTTGAACAAAATAAAACTAGTTTTATTCCCACCAAAAGATCATTTTGCAAGACTTAGAAAGATTAAACATAACAATAAAAGAAGAAAGTGAAACAACCTTTGAAGACTTTAGTTCATTTTGGCAATTAGAAAGTTGATGAAGATGACTTTAAGCTCCAAGGAAGAAGCTATGTACAAGTGCCCACCAACATTTAGTCAAGTTGATAAGATGCTAGTCTTCATCTTGTAATAAAAGAATCTCTTAAGCCTTTAAGAATAAAACAAGGCTTTTGTTCTAAAGGAAAGTTTCAAGTAAAGTATCAAAATTCTTCTTACTTTGATCTTAACAATTTAAGAGACAAAACAATAGAGAACATGTAGAAGGGAAGGCTAAATTTTCATGGTTTTGGCTTATGAAAAAAGGAAGAAAACAAGTTCTTTAAAGTCCATACATTAAGCCTTTATCTCATGGGTCTTAGCACTTTAAGACTCATGCTTTATCAAATCAAGTAGTCATTCTTTCTGAGAGCATGGTGTGTTGAATAAATTAATCAAAACCAAGTCTTCTTTCTTCTTTATGGTCTCCTTGAATTTTTTATAAAAAGAAGAAACTAGTTTTTCTATAAAGCTCTTCTAATTTTTATAACTTATAAAACATATAAATCAATATAAGTCAAAAAAACCCCATTTGGTCCAAAAAGATGTGCATTACATAATAAATCATACCTTATGATATATAATTATATGTTTTGGTACTTAAAATTTAAAATTTATATTTCCAAGCAATAAATAATTTCCAATTTATTACAAGAATAATCATATAAAATTATAATACATCTCTAAAATAGTTCAATACATATCGATGGAAGGCAAACGGGCAACAAGCTACGCCGCTAGCCCTTTCTGGATGGCAAAACTAATTCTTTTGAAAACAGTTGTGGATCTAGGCAATATGACATTAGAATGCATGACCCGTTGTACTTTGTTGAGGAGCTCCACCGCCTTTAGTGCGAGAAAACCAAATGTATCGAATGCAAAAGGTACAAACACACGTTGATTTTCTATACATGCATTCTCATGCTTGGCCACTTTGCACGCAACGTCTTTCAAAGAGGCATGCTCAGCTGTTAAACCTCCGTTCCTCAAACCGACGAGAGGAGAGA